GGCGCCTCGTCCCAGAGCAGCTCGCCGGCCTCGAGTACGCCCAACTCGCCGGCGTCGTCGGCGTCGCACCACATCCGGCCCAGCACGCTGCACGGCCTGTCTCCCAAGCTGCACCGCCAGTACCGCTCTGCGCGCTGCAAGTCGGCGGGAAACATCCCGCTGTCGCCGTTGGCTCACACGCCGTCCCCGACGCAGGCCTCGCCGCCGCCGCTGCCGGGCCACACGGTGGGCAGCTCGCACACCACGCAGAGCTTCCCGGCCAAGCTGCACTCGTCGCCGCCGGTGGTGCGCCCGCGCCCCAAGAGCGCTGAGCCCCCGCGCTCGCCGCTCCTCAAACGCGTGCAGTCGGCCGAGAAGCTGGGGGCCTCTCTGGGCGCTGACAAGAAGGGCGCGCTGCGCAAACACAGCCTCGAGGTGGGCCACCCGGATTTCCGCAAGGACTTCCACGGCGAGCTGGCGCTGCACAGCCTCGCCGAGTCGGACGGCGAGACCCCCGCCGTTGAGGCTCCTGGCGTGCCCCGGCAGGTCGCGGTCCGCCGCCTGGGCCGCCAGGAGTCGCCCCTGAGCCTGGGCGCGGACCCGCTGCTGCCCGAGGGCGCCCCCAGGCCGCCGGCGTCGAGTAAAGAGAAGGAGTCCCCCGGCGGCGCCGAAGCCTGCACCCTGCCCCGCGCCACGACCCCCGGAGGCCGGACCCTGGAGAGGGACGCCAGCGGCACCCGACACCAGAGCGTGCAGACGGAGGACGGCGTGAGCGGGGCGGCCAGGGCCGTGGCCAAGGCGGCGCTGAGCCCGGTGCAGGAACACGAGACGGGCCGGCGCAGCAGCTCGGGCGAGGCAGGCACACCCCCGGTGCCTATTGTCGTAGAGCCCGTGCGGCCCGGGGCCAAGGCCCAGGCCCCCCAGCCTCCAGGTTCGGACTCCAAGGGGCTGCAGGAATCCATGCCCTCGGTGCCTCTGGCGCCTGAAGCCCCCCGGGGCCGGGAGCGCTGGGTGCTGGAGGTGGTGGAGGAGCGGACCACGCTGAGCGGACCTCGCTCCAAGCCAGCCTCCCCCAAGCTCTCCCCGGACCCCCAGCCCCCCTCCCCAGCCCCGACGAAGGGTGCACCCAGCAGCGCAGCGCCCCCAGCGCCACCTGCTTCCCTCCTGGTCCCGGCCACCAAGCCTGAGGCGGGGCTCACCTCCCGGTGCCCTGCTGAAGCTGTGCCCCCAGCAGGCCTGACCAAAAAAGGGGCGCCCTGCTCCACATCCCCGGGCCCATAGCCTAGGGGGCCACGGGCCCTGCGCTGTACAGCCGCCTGTATACATATGTACACATATAAATAAAGTGCGTCCGTGCTGCGTGAGCTTTCTGGGGCTGCCCCTCCTCCCCTGGCAGGCCAGACATCATGTTCGAGGGCCCTGCCTGGGTGCTTGCTGACGGGCAGAACTCCAGGACTGTGACCACAGAGAGGGGAAGTGAGACCGGGGCGGACCTTCTTTGTGGTCCCACTTTGGGTCCCATCTATGCACCAGTTGTCCCCAGACCCTCAGCCACTGCAGTGCCGTTCTGAAAGAAGAGTTAGCAGCCTCACCCACCAATTTCCTTTTATTTCTCAGCAGTCCTGAGCCAGGTGTTATGACGCCCATTTTGCAGATGAAGAGACTGAGGCACAGAGAGGTTAAGGCACTTAATTAAAGCCACACAATTAGGAAGGGACTAAACTGGCTCCTGAGCCTTACCTCTCAGATGCCCTGCGGGGCCTCTCTGGAGAGAAGGCCCTGCTCTCATGGCCCACAGGGCTCCCAGGCCTTCACCAGAGGCTGGAAGGCCTTCCAGAGGGCCGGCAGCTGGGAACACAGTGTGCCCCCGCCTCGGTGCTCCTCTGCGGAGTTCCGATTCATGTCTCCGACACAGGCCCAGGGCCTTTCTGGGGCTACACACCACTTGGAGTGGTCGTCTTGGTTACTGAAGGCTGGCCCACTTGGCCCGGGGAAGGCTATCTCAGTCACATCCAGCACATGCCGGAGCCCAGTGCAGTTGGAGCGGAGCACGCCAGCAGAATGTGGCCAGAACTGGACCTGCAGGTTGCTGCCGAGGGCTTCTGCCAACCAGCCAGAGTAGAGGTCTGTGGAGGATGGAAAGAGCACATGGGCAGGGACAGGGGCACTGCTGGGGCCCCAGGCCACATCCCCTCTCTGAGCTCAGTTTCCTCAGCTGTCAATTCCTGGGAACCGGGGGCTGACAACATGAAGACCAGCAGCCCTTACTAAACACTCTACGTGCACTGCTTCATTCACAGCCACTTTTTTGAGTAGAGGTCAGTATCCTCATTCTTCAGATGGGGATGCACCACACAGCCAGGAACCAACATCTGAATCCTGGTCTGTTGGTTGTCTTCCTCTCATTTGATTAGGGCTCTGAACGGGCCCCAGTGTCTCTCCCTGACCTGCCCTCAGCCATGGACACAGCGGACACCCCCTCTGCAGAGAAGTTCACCAACCCTCAACCGCAGGGCTCACCATCTCCAAAGTTTCTGGATTTGACAAAGCTCTGGAAGGTGGCCCCTGCCTTTGATGTGAGTGTTACACTGCTGTTCCAGGGTTTGCTGCGAACATGGAGGCCCTTGGCTACCTTCACCAGGTCGGGGAGCCTCTGGGCGATGTCCCCTTCCAGCTTGTAGTCGTACACCAGGGGAAAAGTGTAGTTCAGCTGTCTGCCTGGAGGGCAAGGAGAGGAAAAATGAGGAACCATTCCACTCCCCGGCCTGGGAATCAAGAACTCGCCCTGCCTCCCTGTCCCCACTCACTGATATCCTTGAACTGGTCGAAGGGAAAAGACACGCAGAGCAGGGTCTGCCCGTAGGGGCGGGCAGTAGGTGGCCAGCTGTATGCAGCAGAGGCGGCAGGTGGAGGGAAGCGCGGAACGCTGTGGACCAGCCAGAAACCTCCATCTCGGTCGAGGAGCAGCACCCCTGAGCCAGAAGATGGGGATCAGAGGGACTGCTCAAGGCCTCCCAACAAACCGTGCAACCAGGAACACCTCAGTTTGCAGGGGGCTGGAGAGGGCGTGGGCAGTGTCGAGACCACTGCTGAGCCATTTCCACAGCCATCAGTTCTCACAGTCCAGGGGAAGGAATGTCAGTGTCAGAGGGGGAAACAGATGCCCAGGGTCTGACACAGCATCCCACATCCCCGGCCCCGCAGGTCAGGGACTAGCTGGGGAAAAGGCAGAGGGAAGCCAGAGCCCTTCCCAGCCCCAAGTCTGGGCCTCACCCTTCGTGTGCCCCCGACTGGAGGAGTCCCGAGCCCGGCTGGATTGAGGGGGCTGGTCATTGTAGAGTAGGAAGGCGAGCTGGGGGAGACGGACGGGACAAGGTGAAGATCCCCCCAGGCCGGGCCCTCCCTAGAGTGCCACCCCGGGTTGGGCCTGGCGCCCCTTCACCTGGCTGGCGTTGCTCCGGTACAGCGGCAGCAGGCTGCGGCCCACGGCCCCCGCCGAGCTGTTGATGAAGTCCGCGCCTTCGCGCCAGCCCCTTGAGTCCCCATCCATGTATTTGTACCGCAGCCCCCGCGGCAGCTTGTAGACGACGAACCTGGAGGTTGCGGAATGGACAGAATGGAGGAAGGGCAAGATAAGGGATTCCAGGCTTCGCCGGGAGCGCAGCAATCTCCAGTCCGGCCCCGGGGGGATGGTCGGCGCCCGCGCACTCACCAGTCCACCGGCTGCCCCGAGTCCCCATAGCAGGTCAGTGTCCCCACAGGGACCCACAGCAGCGCGGCCAGAACCAGCGGGCTCAGCGCGGCCATGGGGCTAGGCTACAGGAATCTGCGCGGGACCACGGGTCGCCGGGTCACGAGCTGGGCCGGCCCGGCCCCAGTGACTTTCACTTCCCCAAACCCTCCAGGGAACCGGGCCGGGACTTCACGAGGATGGAAACTCCGCCCTCGAGAGAAGCAGAAATTTGAGAAGGCGGCCTCGGGTCTCCGGGGGCGGGGCTTCCTCTCGGGCTCGGACCCGCCAGCGCCGGGTCGCCTCCTGCATCCCCCGGCCTCCACCCTAGACAGACCCCACTCTCTGGCCCCGCCTCCTTTCGGTGGGGCGTCTTGGGGAGGGCGTCCCGACTCCGCCTCCGCCCCTGGCCAATCACAGCTCACGTCCCTGCGCTAGGCCCCGCCTCCGCCTCGTTCCGTTCTGGCTGAATGCCAGCCCTCGCTCCGCCTCCGGACTCCGGTCCTCCACCTGCTTCTGGGTCACAGCAAATTCGGGTTATTTCCCTTCCTGCCTTACAGCCAGCTCTGGTGACACCAGCTCTCTCAAGGGTCGCTTGTGATTCTGACTCTCTCCCTTTTCATTCTGCATGTTTTCCCAGGGTCCTCCTGAGCTAGCCAAGAGATTGCTTGGGATCATGACAAGACAAAGGGTGTAGGACTCTGGGGCCAGGCTGAGGGCTCTAAAATGGAGAGAAATGGTCCCTATGAGTGTCCCTGGGGTTGTAGGCGAGGAAGACAATTCCTCTACCTTCTAGGGCCTTCTGGTTGGTCTAAGAATTAAATTGACATGAGACAGAATAACAGGAGAAAATCTAACAAAGCTTTATAACGTGTATACATGGGAGAGACCCAGGAAAACAGAGCAACTCGCCAGAATGGCCAAAGATGCCACCTTAAATACCATCTTCAGCTAAAGACAAAAGGAGGGTGTGTGTGGCGGGGGTTGGGGCTTCAAAGGGGAGGAAGGCAGTTCACATGGAGATGGAAAAGCAAATGTTTGGTAAACAGAACTTTGATCAGAGTGGGCTCAGCGAGGATGCTCACAGTCTAGGGTACCCAGTTATCTGTGGTGACGGGCTGTCCCGGGGACAGGCCTCCCATCTTAAATCCTTTTAGGCAGTTATAGGGGGGAGGTCAAAGTTTCTTTCAGAGTCTTTTGTCTGTAACCAGAAAGAGACATTTTGGGCTGGCCAATTCTTATCCCCCACAGGTTCAAGGCAGGAAACAAGGACGATGCAGCCTGATCTTGGGGGGGGGGGGGGGAGAGGGTGGCAAGGTTTGCAATGCCCAAGGGGGGTCACTGAGGTTTAGGAGATGAGGGTGTGAGGGTGTGTATGGCTCCCCAATATCACTTCTGGGGGTACACCTTCCTCCCAATTTCCAGCACCCAAAACCCACAAAGTCAGGCCAACGCTGAAATTTCATCTGGGAGGAGCATTTTTACAGGACCCTTATAACCATTCGCAGCAGATGCCAGCCACTGTGCCAAGCTTCAGAAGTCACGGTGCGAAGCCCCCTCCTAGACCCAGAGTCTCTGGGAAGCCTCACCCCACACGCCCTCCCGCTGTCCCAGGCCGCCTGTGAGCTGGTTTAAGGGTTCAGCTCTCTGAGGGTCTCTCTGTCCAACATGTCAGAGTGTCCATCCGAGTCCGTTTACTTGGAGGTCTGTCTCCCTGGGTCTGCGTGACCATCGGACGTCTCCGTGTGGCTCCCTGTGGCTGAGGAAATGTGTGGGAACTTCTGTTGGAGGCTCCCCTAGGTCTGTCTGGGGGCCAGCCTTGATTTCAGTGGATCTGTGGGGCTGCGAGTCTGGGCGAGGGTCCAGCACAGGGAAAAACCCCCCTGCGTGGATCCACTCTTGTTCCATCCTCAGTCCCCGGGAAAGTCCAAGTGCCAGGCTCAAAGGTGACGCTTCATGTGCAAGGCCAGATGATCGGAGCGCGAAAAAGCTCGGGGGCAGAGCTGGCAGCGGAAGGGGCGCTGTCCGGTGTGCTTCCGGTAGTGGCGGGTCAGCTCGTCAGAGCGCGCGAACCTCCACCCGCAGCCGTCCCACGTGCAGGCGTATGGCTTCTCCCCTGGGGACCGAGGAAGCCGTGAGCGCCCCTGTCCGCCCCACTCCTCCCCTCGGCTCCATCCCCCTATCTGGCTGCACTCCTTTGCTCCGCCTTGGCTGGGACCAGGGTGGGGCAAGTGAGGCGGCTAGGACACAAAATTTAAGGAGGCGCTCACTCCCAGGGGAGGGTCCTGAATCTGCACCCAGGTCCTGCTCTGCGACCCCCCATCCTTCTCCTGTACCTGCATCTGGAGCCACGATCGTTCTCATTTCCTGGGCCCAAGTGGCCTCCCCTACCCCACTCGCCCCACTTCCTGTGCCCTGGTACCCTGCCCCTGCGTCCTAAAGACGTCCCACCCTCGTCCTTTGACCCTGCCCTGTGTCCCAGCCCCTCCCTTGAACCAGGGGACCCTCCAGCTGCTGCCCAATCCTGGCCCTGGCCTTGAGCCTCGAAATACATCTGGCGTCCTAGGCCCCGTCCCCGGTGATTACGCTCTCCCTCGGCTACGCCTGGCTCCTTCCCCTGCGGCCCCGCACCGGTCTGTACACAGCGCCCCACCCTCTGGGCGGACCCCGAAGAGTAAGCCTCACCCCTCCTCCTCCCCGCCTCTATCCCACGGCCCCGCTCCTGTCTCTTTGGGCTCTTTGCGACCCGGCTTCTCCTCCTATGCCCACCCTCCTCCTCTGTTCCCCAGCTATTCCCCCTGCCCTCCAGGACCTGCCTCTACCTTTGGGCCCGGTCCTCTCCAACTGGGCCTGGGAAACTGACTCTGTCCCTGCCTGGCCTCCTGAGCCTCAGCCACGCCCCCTACAGCCTGGCCCCACCTCCAAGCCAAGCCGTCCACGCTTTATACTCCCAGCTACCGCACCTGAGCCCCTGAGCCCCTAACTCCGCCCTCCGCTTGTCCCAAACCCGAACCCAGTGTCTTTGGCTCAGATCCTGGCATTCTAAGCTTGTCCTCTCCACAGTCTCTCCTCCAGCCCCGCCCTCCTACGCCACCTGCCAGGCTTGCTGGTCCTCAGCCTGTCCCTGGCCCAGGACTTACCCGTCAGTTCCCCGAAACGCTCCCCAGGTTCTTCAGGTCCTTTCTCTGCACCCACCCCGTCCCGCACCGCAGCCTGTCCGGTGGCCCCGCTCCTGAGGTTCCAGGGCTGCTGCCGGCTCCCTCTGCCCGCCCCTTGCCCCGGGACTCTGCTGCAGCCCCACCCCTGGCTTCACGGGCACGCCCCTGTGCCGCGTCTCCGCCTCTCGCCCCTCCTCTCGCTCCTGGTTTCCGCCTCCCGGGCCGCTCGCCGTGCTCAGATCCCGCCCCGCCCCGCCCCGCCCCGCCCCGCCCCGCGCCCTCACCGGTGTGCGTGCGCAGATGCGCCTTCAGGTGCGAGCTCTTGGTGTAGCTCTTGCCGCAGCCCGGGTACGTGCACGTGTGCGCCGCCTGCCTCTTGCGCGCCCACGAGCGCCGGCTGCGCTTGGATGGCGCCGCCTCCGGGGTGCCTCTCGGGTCTCCAGCGGTCCCCCCGAGTCCCGCACCCGCCGTCCCGGGTCCCAGACAACTCAGGAAGGAGGGGGGCGCGGCGGGGCCGGGCGCGGGAGCCGGGAGCCCGCGGAAGAGCTGGAAGTGCCCTTGGTACTGGGGCGCCGGGTACAGCGCGGGGTACCCGGGCAGCAGCCCGTACGGGGCCCCCGGCGCGGTCGGCACTGGAAGCTCGGTCCGCGGGAAGTAGCTGCCGGAGGAACCCACCCCCGGCCCCGGGTACACCGGCTGCAGCGGCAGCCCCTTGGGTTCGGGGGCCGGGACCAGGGCTGGGCCCATGAAGGCGTCGGGGGCCGGGGCTCTCGGGGCCGGGCGTGCCCAGCCCGGGTGCTCCTCGGGACCCAAGAGCCCAGCCACCAGCCCCAGGCCACTTGCGTACGCCCCCAGAGTCTCCGGCGGCGGCGGCGGCGGGAATTGCGCCCCGAGGGTTTCCCCCGGTGCTGGAGCGCACGTTTGGGGCTCTGCGCACGGGAAGTTGTTGAGGAGGAGATCCAGGTCCCAGGCGGTGGCCGCGTCCCTCTCGTCGTCTTCGTCCTCTCCGCGCATGTCCTCCGACTCCGGCCTCACGTGGAGGGGCGGCCCGGTGGGGTCGGGGGGCCCTGGGCCCAAGTCCTGCACCTCCTCAGAGCGCCACCACTGCGGGAGGGAGCCGGTAGCGTGAGGCTTCAGTGAACAGCGGGGTACCTGCCTAGAGACGAGGGGGCCGGATGCCCTGCGGGGGGCAGGCTGGCCAGAGGCTCCGCAAAGGGGTCTTGTTTGCTTGTCTGTCGCGTCAGTCTGTCCCACTCCCTCACACTGCCTCCCGCTCCAACCCCCCAGGACAGAGGGCGACTGGGTCTAGCTGGAGACAGGAGATAAGACTGACATTATCTGGAGCCACAGTCAAGCATGGGGGAAGGGGTGGCAGAGGCAAGAATGGAAGGCTGAAGGGACCCAGCCTTGCCTCAGTTTCCCCCCACAATCCCCCTCACCCCCAACAAGAGGATTCCCAAGATTAATTCTCGGATGTCCCTGAGACACATTTGCTGTTTCCCTCCGATATCCAGCGTTGTCTCACTGAGCTTAGCCCCCCAAGGTGTTCGGCTCCCGGCCTCAGTTTTCTACTACACAGCAATAAGGTTTAGAGCAAGCTCAGACCCCTGGCCTGGCCTGAGGAGCGCCAGCCCTGGCCAGGTGTCTGGATTCCAGGGAAGGATGGAGCCCTGACCCCCAAGCTCTGTGACCACAGCCCAGGACCCCCGGCGGCCCACTCAGACCCTGCCGGGCCCCACCTTGAGGAAGTCCTCCTGTGTGTCCGGGAAGGGACCCAGGGCGGTCAGCGTGCTGATGGAAGGCAGGGCGGTCTCAGCTGCAGCCATGGCTGGCTGGTGCCCACCACGGGCTTCAGGCCTCCTCTCCCTTGGCGGCCTCGTGGGCTCTGAGGCTCCAGTGGCCCCTTGGAGGGCTCCTCTCTGCCCTCAGCTGATTGGCTGCGGCCCCTGATAAGGGGCAGGCAAGGGGGGGGTCAGTGTTTCTGGGGAACAGACCTCGCCTCAGCCTGTTTGGGGCTGGGCCTTACAGACTGACCCGTGTGCAAGGCCAAGTCAGATGTTCAGGGGCTGGGGGCTCAGGTGTTGGGTAAAGTGAGGCACTGGGTCCCCCAAGAGGGAGAGTCCTGGGGTCCTGTTCTCAGTTACCTTCCTGGAGAAGGGGTGACAGGCAGAATGGGATTCTGGGAAGGGGCTTTGAGACCCCCTCTCCCCCTGACGGGGGCCCTGCAGCCCTCCCCCTCCCCAATAAACAGCAGCAACCGTGCCGATGGCGGGACTTGGCATGAACTCCCTGCCAGGCCAAGCGTTATCAGACACCCCAGATGTCAGAGGCTGCTATCAGGTGGGGGCCCAGAACAGCCAAAGCTCTGTCTCCAGAGGGTGGGGGGCTGGGGCTTCACGTCAGCTGGGCTTGAAATTGCCTGGGTTTTGAGCTCCCAAGGTCTGAACCTGGAGTGGTGGGAGGGAGCCCTGCCAGTCAGCTGCCACTGTCTGCCCTGGGTCCTCCCCGGGGCACCACAGGGAGTGGGGCTGTGTGGAGGCTGAGGCTGGCACCCCTACAGCTGCTCCAGTACGATGGGGCTGGGGAGGGGAGTGACACCCTCAGCTGGGTGGGATGGGCCCGTTGGATCAGGCCACAGGAAGTGCCTGACCTGCAGGAGACCCGCACCGACCCCTGCGCTGGGCCTGGCTGCTGCCTGAGTTCTGCCCCACATTGGGGAGGGATCTGAGATTCTGCACCAGGGGTCTTCACTGTGGTGCCCTGGGAGCCCAGGATGAGGGACAGCATGGACACACATCACAGACACATAGTCCATAGTCACACACACAGTATGCAACTACAGAGCGACACCAATTCCTGGTCCCTCAGTCACACAGACCGTGTAGTGTCTGTACACATAATTGCATGTCTGCATCATATAGAATGTGCACAGACACACGATCATACACTACGTTGGTTCCACAGTGTTATAGGCACAGTCCCTCAGACACTGAATTCATCATCACACAGACAGTCACTGACACAATCACACACAGTCACCCACTCACACCCAGTCACACAACCACACAGACACACAGAGACTCCTGGATGTGTTGTCACAGGACTAGAGAAGATGCAGCCACCCAACCCCATCAAACACGGATGTAGCCTCAGACACAAAAGCGTAAAACATGGCTGCACACAACCGTTCATGAACACACAATGATGTGGTAATGTACACAGCTATACATCAGGCACAACCGCACACAGCACCCTATAAACTTACAGCCTTACATAGTCACGCCCCCTGTCACTGCCACAGTGTGTAATTATCTAGTTACACAGTTGCACAGCTACCAAGGCCCAACCGTAGGGGGTGCACCCAGTCAAATGCAGACAACCACGCCCCCATGGAGTGAAGCACCCTGACAGTGTAAGGCACACAACCTCGCCCAGACACAGACACACAAAGCTCGTGTGCCACAAATGCCTTACTCAAAAAGACAAACAATGATCATGTGCCACAAAGCGGGAGGGAGCAAAAACTGATGTAAAACTCAGCTCAATACACCCACTAGGATGGCTATAGTAAGAAAACAGGAAACAAGAAGGGTTGGCAAGGACGTGGAGAAATTGGAACCTTGTACACTGCTGATGCGAATGTAAAATTGGGCAGCTACTATGAAAAAGTCTGACGATTTTACAAAAAGTTAAGCATTCACAAACTTGAACAAGAGTTACCATATGCCCCAGCGATTTCACTCCTAGGTTTATACCCAGAAGAATTGAAAGCAGGGACTCGAACAAATGCTTGTACACCAATGTTCATAGCAGCATTAGTTACAATCATCGCCAAAAGGAGGAAACAACCCAGACGTCTATTAACAGATGAGCAGATAAATACAATGTGGTCCATCCATGCAGTGGAATATTGTCCAGCTATTAAAAGGAATGATGTTCTAATACATATTACAATGTGGATGAACCTTAAAAACATGCTGAGTGAGAAGAAGCCAGTAGGGAAGATCACATATTATATGATTCCATCTATGTGAAATGCCCAGAACAGGCGAATCCACACAGACACAAAGGTTGATGGTGGCCAGGGGCCGGGGAGGAGGGAATGGTGTGTGACTGCTCGTGGGGACAAGGTCCCCTTTTAGGGTAATGGAAATGTTCTGGAACTAGAGGGAGGTTGTGATTGCACAGCATTGTGAATGTCAATGCCATGAATTGTTTATTTATTTATTTACTTTTTGCTGAGGAAGACTGTTGCTGAGCTAACATCTGTGCCAATCTTCCTCTATTTTGTATGTGGGATGCGGCCGCAGCATGGCTTGATGAGCAGTACATAGATCCATGCCTGGGATCCGAACCCACGAACCCTCAGGCTGCTGAAGCAGAGTGCGCAAACTTAACCACTACACCACTGGGCTGGCCCCTGAATTGTTCACTTTGTTTCTTTATTTATTTAAAAATTGGCACCTGAGCTAACATCTGTTGCCAATCTTCCTCTTTCTTTTCTTCTTCTTCTTTTTCTCCCTAAAGCCACCCAGTACATAATTGTATATTCTAGCTGTAGGTCCTTCTGGTTGTGGCATGTGAGATGCCGCCTCAGCGTGGCCTGATGAGCGGTGCCACGTCTGTGCCCAGGATCCAAACTGGCAAAACCCTGGGCCACCAAAGCAGAGCACATGAACTTAACCACTCAGCCACAGGGCCAGCCCCTGAATGGTTCACTTTAAATGGTTCACTTTATGTTATGTGAATTTCCCTTCAACAAAACAAAATGGTGGGAGTTAGAGAGGTTTCCTAGAGAGGAGAGCAGAGTCTGTCTTAGGGAGAGATCTTCTGGTTAAGGATGAGGCATGAAACAGGCATGTCTGGCTCTGAAAGGTGAGGCAAGAGGATTAGGGTCTAGAGAGAGAGGGCATTTGGCTGGGAGATAAGGCCCCTGGGAGCCTGTAGCCAGGAGGATGATGGACTTCCCAGGGCATCAAGGCCCGAGCCTCCATTTGGGTTTCCTAGTGTGTATGCTGTCCTCACCCTGCGACACTCCCTGAGCATCAGAGAACTCCAACCAGCTCCAGGGCAGGGGAGAGAGCTTTGGGGAAAGGAAGGGGCAAAAGAGAGGGGCCAGTGGCTCCAGGAGGGGAGGTGTCCAGAAGAACAAGAGCTATGCAGACTCCCAGACATTGCAGGGCGGTGACAGACTCCCTGCTGTGTGAGGAGGAGGGTTCACACCATTTTATTTGGATAATAAGGTCAAGAGAGGCTCAGAAAGTGGAAGCATCTAGGGACACCCAGGTCCCAGGTATTTGGGGATGTGTAGGCTAGTGATCACATTCAGACACAACCCCACAGTGACTCCCATCACACTCAGAGACGATGTGTGAGGCAGAGCACGCTACACACACAGCCACCCAGAGTGGGGAGAGGTGTTCCCGGGTGGGCAGGCAAGGGCCTGTCCTGGGAATCAAGAGGTCCGGATCTCGTTCTGGTCCCTGCTCTACACCTGGCCTGCTGTGACCTAAAGCAAAACCGGCCTTCTTTCTCGGCCTTACTTTCTCCAACTGGGAAATGGGCGGGTCATGGTAGATGTGTGATTTCCAGATACAGAGATGGTCAAGCGTGATGCACCCAGATTCAAATGCACACCACACGAACGCTCATAAAAGCAACATAGGTGAGCACAGCCACTCACTCAGGCATATACGCATGTCACACTCAGGCACACAATCACACACAATTGCACACAGACCAAATCACAGACATATATAGATACGCACAATCACACAGACGTGCACAGAAATATCCAGTCATATTATCACAAAGATAACAGCTACATCTAGAGGGAAAACCATCAAGCACAGAGTCAAACACACAGACGCACGATCACACAGAATACCATTACACGCTGCAATTACACAGACAAGAAACCACAAAGACACAGCCACACTTACACGGTCGCAGACAGTTACGCAGGCACGCAACCACCCACAGTCAACAGCCCACAACGTCACAGGCACAGTCAGTCCCACCCACATACAGATACACAGTCAGGCACGATCACACACAGAGATGCACAGAATCACGTAGCACGCGGGATCACACCAAGTCACACACCCGATCACACGTGGCTACAGGCGCTTCCTGGGACAGACTAGCAGACAGGTTGGACAGAGATCGCCCACCAGAGGCCACCTCCTCCCCTCACACGCAGCACCCCGTCAAAGGAGACCTGGAGGTCTGGCCTCCTGGGTTCCGGGACTCATTTTTCTCGAGGCTCAGTTTCTTTCTTTAACTCAAAATCCCTCTGGACTCGCCCCTCGAAACTGACCAACCAAGAGTGGGCCGAGCCCCCTCCTAGGGCCAATCAGGGCAGGACTACAGCTGGCCAATCGGATTGGCGCTCGCGCCTTCCGCCCTTTCCTGTTCTGCTCCTTAAACTGGCTAACCCAGCCTCGGCCGGGGCGCGCCCGTCCCCGCGGGCCCGGATGCCGTGGCCCTTTTAAACAGGCAGAGCCGTGAGGGGGCCGGTCCTAGGACGAGCCAATGAGAAGCCCCATCCGGCCTCCGCTCCGCCCACCCCAGCTCCAGGTCAAAGGCCTACGGTCAGCGGCGCCGCGGGCTGCGCGGTGAGCGGGGGTGGGGGCGCCGTGGCCGGGTTGCGGGTGGGAGCCGCTCCGCTCTGACGCCCCCACCCCTCCAGGTCGGCGGTAGTTGCTCCGCGCGCCCGGCCGCTGCCCACATGGCTCTGAGAGGCGTCTCCGTGCGACTGCTGAGCCGCAGACCCGGCCTGCGCGCCCTGCGCGCCTGGGGCTCGGCGGCGGCGCAGACCGGTCAGTGCCGGGCCAGGCGGGTGGGGCGGGAGCAGGTGGAGGCGCTGAAACGTTCTCGGGTGACCTTCCCGTCCTGTGTTTGCAGAGAAGGGCGGGAAGACACAGAGCCGACCGGCCAAATGTAAGGCCCCCTCGTCGCGCTGTGCGTCCGCAGTCCTTGTCCAGCTGTCTGTCTGCCCCGGGTGGGTTCTGTCCCGGAGTCCGAGGGCTGCGCGGGCGGGTAGGCAGGGCCGTGGCCAGGTTCAGAGGCGGTGAAGCAGTGAGTTTCCCGGAGGAAGTCGCCTCGTCAGTCCTGTTTGCAGCCCACATTTGTTGGGAGCGAGATGGGGGTGGAGGGGTGGGGCTGAGGATTCCGGGAGAGGAGGGCAAGATGGTCGAGTGGGCAGCGCTGAGTCGAGCCCCGACCCCCGCCCCCTGCCCCAGCCTCGCGTCCGGAGTTTGACTGGAGGGACCCGCTGGTGCTGGAGGAGCAGCTGACAGCGGATGAGATCGCCATCAGGGACACCTTCCGCACCTACTGCCAGGAGCGCCTCATGCCCCGCATCCTGCTGGCCAATCGCAACGAAGGTGCCCAGGCGGGCCGCACCCTCCACCCTGCACTCCAGCCCTGCCTGCATTAGCCGGCCTTTGGGCTCCTCTGTCCCTGGGGTGGGGATCCAGTGGGCTAGAGCTGGGCCTGAACTTGGGCATCTGTCCCTTTGCAGTTTTTCACCGGGAGATCATCTTGGAGATGGGGGAGCTCGGTGTGCTGGGCCCCACCATTAAAGGTAGGGACAAGTCTCTGCATACTCTGCAGCCCCCACTGTGTCCTGGAAAGCCCCTACCTTTCCCTGAGCCTCGGTTTCCCAGTCTGTAAAGTGAGGCTGTTACCCCTCCATCTGAAAGCGGCTGTGGGGATGAAATGAATAAACCCTCAAGCTAGGGCCAGCTTGGTGCCTCGTTGGGCGCCCCTATGTAGCACTCTCTCTGGCCTGAGGACTCACTGGTCCCAGCAGGACAGAGCTTTGGCCCCCATTGCCCCATCTCCCCTCCCCCCACCAGGGCATGGCTGTGCTGGAGTCTCCTCGGTCGCCTATGGGCTGCTGGCCCGAGAGCTGGAGCGGGTGGATAGTGGCTACAGGTCGGCGATGAGTGTCCAGTCCTCCCTCGTCATGTACCCTATCTACGCCTACGGCAGCGAGGAGCAGCAGCAGAAGTACCTGCCCCGGCTGGGTGAGCGGCTGCCTGTGGGGCCTGCTCGAAGGAAGACAGTCCCAGCAGTCTAGGGTGGGGCTCTCCCGAGCCTGTCTTCTGTCCCCATCTCAAGGATAGCACCAGTGGCCCTTCAGACCTCCTGCCAGACCCTGAGCTTCACCCCACATCTGACCCTGCCCGTCCCCTCCTAGGTCTCTCTTGACTCTGCCCCTGTCTGAGCACCACCGTCTCCCTCTTGATTTGCTCTCTGTGCTCCCTCAGCCCCACCCAAAGTTCAAAGTCTTCGCTTCCTGCCTGGGTCCATGAGGCCGCGCATGAGCAGGCTCTGCTGACCTTCCCACCTCATCTCTGGCCACTCTCTTGACTGCTCCTCTCCAGCCAGACTCAGCTACTTGGAATTCTCCAAATGTACTGCTGGGCCTTTGCACATCCACTGCTCTTCTCTAAACCTCCTTCTGCCCTTTCACTGCCCTTAAAGACAGCTTGGTTGACTCCTTCCTGCCTCTTGCGGGGCCCCTCCTCATCAGGGCATTGTGACTATGGCCTGGGGAAGACCTGTCCCCTCACCACCTGAGAGTGCGGTGAAGGCAGGGCCGGATCTGCTTGGCCTGGCTCGGTGGAGAGGCTGACAGTGTTCAGTTGGGGGAGGAATGGGGGACAAACAGCCATGACCCTGTCTCGTGCTTGCAGCCAAGGGGGAGCTCCTGGGCTGCTTCGGGCTCACAGAACCCAACCACGGCAGCGACCCTGGCAGCCTGGAGACCAGAGCCCGCCACAACCCCTCAGGCAGGAGCTACACCCTCAATGGAACCAAGACCTGGTGAGGGCCTGACACCTCAGGCGGGTGGCCAGGGGCGGGGGGCGGGGGCCAGACCCCTCACTGCCTGTCCCACCTCCAGGATCACCAACTCACCTGTGGCCGACCTGTTTGTGGTGTGGGCTCGGTGCGAAGACGGCCGCATTCGGGGCTTCCTGCTGGAGAAGGGGATGCGGGGCCTGTCGGCCCCCAAGATCGAGGGCAAGTTCTCCCTCCGGGCCTCGGCCACGGGCCTGATCGTCATGGACGACGTGGAGGTGCCGGAGGAGAACGTGTTGCCCAACGCGTCCGGGCTGGCGGTGAGCAGCGGCCACCTTGGGAACTGGTATCAGGTCACCTGCTGCTTCGCCTTTCTTGGGCAGGCCTCGTGCCGGGAACCAGGCAGACGTGGTCCCTGTGCTTGTGGAGCCCACACAGCGGTGATTCGGAGGCTCTGCCTGGCTCACGGATGTGCAGAAACTGCCCCATTTGGTGACCACCTCACTCGTGCTGGCTCTGCCCAGGACACAGCTGGGCGTCACCCAGCTTAGTCCTTTGGGCAGGTGCATCTTCCTGTCTCCCTACATCGGCCCCTACATGCCGGCCCCCAGCCCGGGTAGCGCTGTGTGCAAACCAAGAGGGAGCAGGCACTGAGTGAGACCTGCTGTGCAGGAGCCTTGGTGCCAGGGCCGCCCTGAGCCCTGTTTAGGCTGACTTGTGTCTGGGTGCCTGGGGAGGGGGCTTGCCCCTACTTTAGAGCTGGTTCTGCATGGGGCCTCTCAGCTCCTCCTGGGGGCCGAGGCCCCTGTCAACTCCACAGGGTCCCTTCGGCTGCCTCAACAACGCCCGCTACGGTATCACCTGGGGCGTGCTTGGAGCCGCCGAGTTCTGTCTGCACACGGCCCGGCAGTACACCCTGGACAGGTGTGTGGGGGCTGCCCTGAGGTCTCCTGGGGGTGGGGCCTCAGGTTGCATTCATTATCCCACAGGGACTCCCCACCCCCGCCTGCCAGACTGAAATTCCCCTCTGTGAAATGGCTGAGGAAGTGCTTCTAAGCAGGGAGGGGGCCAAGCCCAGGCCAGGCCAGGCCATTTTGGGGGGCCAGGGGCGCTGAGGCAGCTTGGAAGCCTTCCTGGGCCAGGACTGGGGCCTGCTTTCCCCACACTCCCGCACTTACCCTGACCTTGCCTGCCCAGAATCCAGTTTGGCGTCCCATTGGCCAGGAACCAGCTGATTCAGAAGAAGCTGGCGGACATGCTCACTGAGATCACGCTGGGCCTTCACGCCTGCCTGCAGCTCGGCCGCTTGAAGGATCAGGACAAGTAGGGGCTGTGTGTGGGGGCGGGGCAGCTGCGTGTGGCAGGAGGACCCTGTGCCCCTCCTGGGCATGGTGGCAGCTGGCCCTGGGGAGAGAGGTCCTTCCTGCCTGGTGGCCCCCAGGGAGCCATCCCTTCTGGCGTTGATGGGCCCGGGCCCATCCCTTGTCCCGCACTGGAAGCACAGTGTCTGCTGCTGTGACTGTGATGCGGGGAACCCTCCCCCTGGCTGGCTTTGCCAGGGCGCAGGGATGCTGGGAGCCTAGAGTGGGGTCAGTTCTTTGTAACCTAACACTTGTTACACGTCTGTGCCGCTCCCAGGGCCACGCCAGAAATGATCTCCCTGCTGAAGAGGAATAACTGTGGGAAGGCCCTGGACATCGCGCGGCAGGCCCGAGACATGCTAGGGGGGAATGGCATTTCTGACGAGTATCACGTGATCCGGCACGCCATGAACCTGGAGGCTGTGAACACCTATGAAGGTGGGGCCGAATCTCTGGGGTGGGGGTCACAGCAGCCTCACTGTCTGGGGAAGAGGGGCAGTGAGGGGGGTGGGGAACAGGCCAAGTTCTACTCCCAGCTGTCACCAACTGGCCGTGCGACATGGGGTAAGTCCCCCCATGTCCCTCATCTGGAGCGGTTCCCACTGGGATGAGGAAGTGAAATGCTCTTGGCCCTCTTCCCCATGATGCTCGGGAGGAGGGGTGTCCCCCAGCCTGCTTATGGCCTCCTTGGGCATGCCCAGAGTGGGGCATGGCGCCCAGCAAGCTGGCAGATGCAGCTCACACAGCAGTCACCACTCCAGCTTACATTAGGAGAAAAAAGTGAATCATTTGCAGGCTGTGGTGTCTATACCTGGCACCTAGTTATGATTTGATGGGGCCCAGAACCCCTTGCCTCATGGGCGGACAGACGTGGAAAAAGATAACTAAAAAGAAAAAATGTACAATTCAGTGGGAGCCAGGCAGAAATAGAGGGGGATGCAAGAGGAGGCAGGCGCTCCATCTCTTAGGAAGGAAATGGGACCACATTAGGGCTTGAGGGAGATGTAGGAGCTCCCTGGGTAGAGACAGTGAAATAACTTCTGTGTGCTATTCTGGATGGAACATTCCAGAAACAGCAAGAGAAAGGGGTGAGGGTGGGGGTTCCTACAGGTGTGGGAATGACCCTGAGGACAAGCAGAGGGGGCCTTCAGATAGTTTTACACAGGGGAGTGATGGGGTCAGATTTGCATTTTAGGAAGTAGACAGGTTTTTGTTTTTTGTTTTGTGAGGAAGATTGGTGCTGGGCTAACATCTGTGCCAATCTCCCTCTATTTTGTATGTGGGGTGCTGCCACGGCATGGCTGACAAGTGGTGTGTAGGTCCACGCCTGGGATTAGAACCTGCGAAACCTGGGCTGTTGAAGCAGAGTGTGTGACCTTAGCCACCGGGCCAGCCCCCCAGTTACTTTGCTCCGTAAAAGGGAGGCTGTAATCTCTGCCTTCCAGCCCTGAAGCTGAGGAGGAGCAAACAAGAGCACTGAGGACTGTAAAGTGTTCCCCAGATGCACAGGCAGGGGATGTGGGGTGTGCTGGCAGCTTCGGGCCCGGGCCATCAGCTGGGCGGAGCGATTGTCACTGTTTGCTTTCCCGCCCCCCGCCCCCCGCGGGTGAGCAAGGGCCTGACGTGTTTCCTGCTCATCAGCTCTCCGCCTCCCTGGGAAGGAAGCATGGCTGGTTGAAAGTCAAACGTTTAATGAACTGTGCGGGGTTGGGGTGGGGGAATCTGTGGGAGGCCTGAAACTGGGCTCATGGTGGAGGCTGGACTCGCCGTAGTTTTGGGTCTGGCACAAGGAGCATTGGGTTTTTTTGGGCCAAGATGCATTACAGAACTCTGAAAAACAATATTCTCAGCCTGGCCCGAACAGTGGCCTCAGAGCTTTCTCTTGGTGGCTGTCACTCAGAGGTGACTGCCAGCCACTGTCAGCATTCGCCATCTTTGTGGGTCTGTTCTTCCTCCGAAGCAGCGGCCTGCAGGGAACATGAGACGGAACTTAGAACTCCACGCCGACTCTGCCTTTCTTCCGTGCAGGCACTCATGACATTCATGCTCTCATCCTCGGAAGGGCCATCACAGGCATCCAGGCGTTCACCGCCAGCAAGTGAGCCCACGGCGCCCGGCCTTCCTGGGAGATACCATGCTCTGTGCCTTAAGGGAGGCGGCAGGGGGAGCCAGTGTGTATGGTGGGAAGCGAGAGACGCTGATTCTCAAATATCCAAACTCCCCTTTTGAATCATTCAAGTGTGCTCCTTAGAAAGAAGATGGGACTCTGTACCGAGCTTCTCAATCCGCTTTTACCCGTGGATGGGAACGGACTCCACTCACCTTGGCGCAGGAGCTTCTCGTGATGAGGGGGCAGGGAGAGGGAAGGCAGGACACGGACCAACTGTGAGACCCACCTGGTGTCTGACCCAGCAAACTCCCCCCACCCACCAGGAGTTCCCTGTGCGCCCCCTTGACCCCCCATCTGGGGGTGAGTGCCTTATGCCGGATGTTGGAGCACAACGAGGGGGAGAGAGAGTAATAAAGGGTCTGTGTGTCTGCCCCGCAGCGCTGGCCTCATTTACTTGTAACCACCGAGAAGTTGTTCCAGTCACAGGAAAAATGAACGCGTGTGGGGGCTGCGAGGCGCTGGGATGTGGCCGGGATCTCCCCCCGCTCCCAGAGACTGGCCCACATCTGAGTCCTGGGCTCTGCTGTAATAACTATACCCAGGTGAGGCACAGCCCGGGGCTCAGGGCTGTGGGCAGAGGGAACTTTGTCCTTTCTGTCACCACAGAGCTGACCACACAGCTGTGGGAAATAGCAAGCTGGCTTTTCAGCTCAGACACACCATGTTACAGGGGCCACAAGCGAGATGGCGAGCACGCCGAGGCCTCTGCGGTGATTGTGGCGGTGTGGGGTTCAGGGCGGGGCGCCGGTGCCAGCGTCCTTGGTTTCTGTCGCCTTCCTTCCCTCTTAGCCGGTCCAACCCTCCCTCCTCCGGTGCGCCCCGCGAGTGTGGTCATACCTCCGGCTGCACGCACAGGTCTTTATACACAGTCTCCACGCTGTGGCACACTTGTTTGAGCTCTGTTTCCAAATGGCTGATCTTTGCCATTTTCTGGGTGAACTCTTGGAGCTTGTCCTGAATGAGCTTGTTGTGGTGATTATAAATCTGATACATCCTCTCCTCCAGCTTCTCGGTCAGGTCCGAAACCTTTTCAAGAATAAGACATGTTCTTGGGAAATCAAACAAGAGACCTCACAACACCTTTGTTCTAAGTGGCTCTCTAAGATTTCTGTAATTTGTCTTATAAAACTGGTAAAAACAGCTCTAGTGACTAGAGGTGTAATTGCCTCTATGTTAATTTTTTTTTAAAGCAAGATGCAAAATTATGTATATAGTATAAGCTTAACCAGATTAGGAAGAAGGTACACACCAGAGACTAGAAGAAAACATGCAACAAAGTGGCCTCTGGTGGTGGGATGGTAGGAATGTTTTTATATATTTTCTGCTAATGTTACGCTTTTCTCTATTTCTATGCTGTACCAGGGTGTGTACTGGTAGGGCTGGGGAGGGGGAGAAGTCAGTCTGTCATTGAAATGACGTGTGGAATCCAGCTGTCCCACTCACAGGGTCCATTATGCCTTCTGAAGCATCGGGGACAATCGTTAATGTGGGGCCTGAACATGACATCAGACTTTGTTAGACAGAAGCCCCAGCCATGTCGAGGAGCCTACTTTCCCATCACAGACCATTCGACATCCAGGGGAGAAGTGGGTGTGATAACACTGGCTTTGCCTCCACCCCTGCTCCACAGCCATTGGCCCTGGCGTGAAATAAGAGGGCTGGGCTGCGGTGCAGATGGACCTTGGCTCCTCATCCTGGCTCTCAGTCGGGCAATTACTTCCGAACCTTACTTTTCCCATCTATAAAATGGGTCCAGTCTCTGCAGGATCGTTGTAGGGGAAAATGAGGTCCTGTACGCAAGTCGCTTAGCATCGGGGAACCTAACAGATACTCAGCAGGGGTTCATTCCCTCCCCTTTCACCTTTTACATAAGGACACCCCCTCCCCTGCTGGGGCTTCACAGTGTTGGGGGGGATCTGTCACCTTGATCTTGAGGCTGTCCCTGAAGTTGGTCATGAGTGCATGGTCCTTCTGCCTGCTCTCGTTGATGTTTTCGATCAGCTCCTGGGCCCTCTTCTTCAGGATGTCAATGCTCGAGTCCAGAGAGGAAAAGTAGGGTCCTGACTTCCCTTCCAGCATCAGCAGCGGGCGGTTGGCACTGGAGGTGGCGACAGAGGGGCTAGAGACCTGACTTCTGAAAGTACAGGAAAGTGAGGTCAGCGCCAGACACCCCGAGAGCGCTGCCCTGAACCAGCTGTCTGCTGGGGGCACAACCGAGGAGATACTCAGTTAGTTCATTCACACCCCACCCTGAGGGGCAGTGCTGGCACCCCCATTTTATAACTGAGAAAACAGACCCAGAGGCACACACAAAATGTGCCCACAGTTCCACAAGGAGACCTGCCCAACTCCAGAACCCACAGCCGTTTTATTACACCAATGTGCTGCTTTGAGACAGTGTCAATGACACCATTTATAAACATATAGATGCTTCTGAGGTGGACCTTCCTGTCACCAGCCTGCTGCATCCCTTTCCTTCGCTCTCTGTCCCTGCTGGGTGGTGCCCGCAGCGCGCAGACCACCTAGGGCCAGTGTAGCTGCATGCCTCTGCTCCACCAGGTGAGGTGGCCTGTCAAGAGTTAGTTATGTTAAAAAAAAAATTTTAAACACACAAGAGTTACATTTGTCCTACACTATATGTGTGACTATAATCATGTAATTGAATTAAATATCAGGTTAGCCAGTGAAATGGCAAAGAAATGACAGCTGGCTAATAAAGCAAAATTGAATGAATAAAGGTAAGTCTAATAAGACATAACTATTAAATCTGGTATGGGGGAGACAACTATAGATTTAGGCAAAGATGGTGAAAATCTAGGATTCTGCACACAGATCGCCTTGTCAGGCTATAAGTTTTTGCTCTGCTCTAAAAACACAAAACTGGAAATTGTGGGTAATGCATTATGAATGAGGTTTATGCCAAAAAGAAGTTGCAATCTGATCAGCAGACCCACTTGTGTTTTATTTTAAGATGGAATGTTTAAGGTAAGCTTCATTTTATTTTATTTTTTGGCTGTTTCTCTGTGCTGTCTGATCTGTAAGCACTTCCCAGCTGCCAGACACTGTGCTAGGATCCCCGGCCAGTCTGTAGCAGAGCTGGGGGTGGCACCCAGCTGGCCTGACTCCCAGCCCGTGTCCTGTTTCCCCCTGCGTCCTCAGTTTCATCCTCATCCTCTGAGGTCCTTCCAGCTCTGAACGGCTGAGACTCAGAGGTGTCAACGCAGTGGTTCCTGAGCACACCAGCGCACACACAACAGTAAAGTCTGCCGTGACTGCAAGCCAGGCACTGATTACTTAGAAAATTCTATCTTGCTTTTGGATGCTTTGTCCATAAAATTATTTTTCTTGGCTTTCTCCCGACTGCCTGAGCTCTTCCTCCAGCTTGGGATGCAAGCACAGAACCTCCGCGCTCCAGGGCCTGGGGGCTGGAGCTTTCATCTGCACAGAGTTCTCGGGAGCCCTCAGTGTATTCCTGACCAGCTCTTCCCTCGGGGCCTTTCTGCTTGCTCTCTCACTTGACCTGTGAGAGCCAGCCCAGGCCACTGCCTCCTCTGAGAAGCCACCGATGTGCTTGTCACTGTTCACATCCCTATCTCCCCAGGGGGCTGTGTCCCATTTATCTCCACATTCCTAGCACCTAGCACATAGCAAGCCCTCCACTGTTTGTTGAATGAATGAAGGACACCTTCTCTCCCATCTATTCCTCATTCCTCTGGCTTCACACAAAGCACGAAAATTCATCTGCCTCCAAGGCAGGATGCTGTGTCCAATGCCTCTGACTGACACAGGTGTTATAGCAAAGACTCCTATCAGCCAGCAAACGACAGACCAGCCAAAGACTCCCTGAGCATTCTCGTAAAAAGATGTTTTGCTGTCTCCAGTACCTGCCCCTCATGGGAAGAGTAAAAGAGGTGCGTGGAATATATGAATGAGTGGCTAGCCAGGCCTTTCATTACCAGCCACACTTCCACGACCCCCAAACTTATCATCCCCAGCCCACGCCTCTCTCCTGAGCTCCCAAAGGCATACCCAACGGTATCTGGGCCCTCTGCACATAGCTGTCCCAGAGGCATCTCAACTCTGCATCTGCACACCAACATGGTCATCTTCCCCCACCCAACCTCATCCTCCCTCTCTGCTCAGTGAATGACACCAAAAGCCATGCGGTTCCCAAGCCAGATACTTAGCAGTCAGCTTGGAGCCCGGCTTCTCCCTGTCCCTCCATATCCTCTCACGAAATCTTAACCTCTCTCAAATCGATCTTGACCTCCCCACCTAACCCTTTGCGACCTCAGGCCTCTCATTTCTTACCTGGGCCCTAGTGACCTGAGAACTACAATGTGACATCCCACTCCTGCTCCACAGCCCACGAGAGCCCGCGCCAGCCGCAGGATCAAGTGAATTTCCCAGCAGCACACAAGGCCTTCCAGGGCCCTGGCCTCCACCTTCTCTTTCCACCCTCCACTCCCAGCAATTTGGAACCTTCCAGGATTTCACCAAGCCCATCAGCCTTTGGCTGAAATGACTTTCCCTTTCTGCCCACTTCACGAGGCCACCTTCAGAGCTTTGGCCAGGGCACCCCCACCACACCTTCGCTTACTAATTGCAGTGCTGCAAGGGTTTACACCCGTTGGCTCCCAGCAGGGCATGCACACTCAGGGTGGGGACTGCCTTCTACCCATCCCACAGGCGGCACAGATGCTCTCCCAACACCTAAGTCAGCGAACTGCTGCCGCAGCCCACTGTAACCTTCCTGCTCACCAGCCTCCTTGTACCCACCGCTGCCTCGTTGACAGTGGAAGCAGCATGAAATTAAAGTCAGTGCTATAACCAGGTGCTTCTTTTGTGTACTTGCTCACAACCTGCTTGAGCTGCTACGGGTTCAAAGCCGCTCCTCTCCCAGGCTCGAGGGATGAGGCTGGAACGGGGCTTCATGGCAGCTATGCAAATGGTGAAAAATCACTTGAACTCAGCTCATTCAAATTTCGTCATGGGACAAAGGGCCCGCCTCAGATGTCTGCAGAGAGCCTCTTGAATTTTTCCAACCTCTCCTTTGGGGATTTATTCCTTTCCATTTCATTTTTCTTAATACTCAGCAGCTGCATATTAATCAGGATGCTAATGAATCACAGGCTTCCCTGGGCCTGCATTCACCAATTAACTTTAACAAACAAAACACACAGTGTCCTCTCCGCTGGCTTCCCGGTTCCGGGCCTGCTTCTGTTGCCGAACCCTGGATGTAGGCCAGGGAATGGAAGTCGGCCCAACACAGCAGGCCGGTGTGCGTGGCCTGCTCAGGGGTCAGGCAGTGGGGGCCGGGGTAGGGGCTGTGAACACATCACTGCACTCATCTATTACGGTCTGTGCTTCTGAGGAGTCCCTAATTTGGCTGCGAGGATTAGGACAGTGTTCCCGAGCAGGGCCCAGGCTGGCAGGGGGCCCAGGAGCGGCAGAGGAAATGGGTCTAAGCGAAGAGACCATCTGTTCGCTCCAGGTAAAGCTGTGATTGGCAGGCATGCGAGCCAGAGCCGCCCGCCGGTGGGGCCCTCCCTCCACAGCCTCTAACGGATATACAAGTAAACAATCCGCCAGCCACTTATGACCACCGCAGGCGGCAGTCCCGGGAGGGGAGGCAAGCTAATCAAATATTCGAGGAGGAACACAACAGAATCCCTGGCGCTTGGGCAAAACGATGTCTGGCTGAAGTACAGGCAGGAAGGGGGAAGGCTGGAACCGGAGCTGCCGAGCCCCTTCCTCACCCTCTGCTTCTCTCTCCCGAAATGTGTTCACATTTTAATCATGTCGCTGAGTGTCTGCCACTGGATCTATTAACTGGCCCTTGCACTGGTTCTGATCCATCTGTTTTTCGGCCCAAAGCTCTTGTGGAACTCCTTAAAGTCTCTAAATGATTTGCGATTGTCTGTATCTCTTCACCACTTAGATCTGGGTCTAAAGATGCTATTTGCAGGAAGATGTTATCCAGCAAACGTATTCAGTCATTTCCTTCTTTTTTCTGGTCTCCAACTGAGGGCACACACCTGGAAACCATCCCTCCTGGTGGCTTGCTTTACAACCGAGGAATGTGGGAGGTCGGGGAAGCTGGCTTTATGCCCGGAGTCCTCAGGGCCCTGTCCCGAGGTGAGCTCATTCACCCCACAGCTGCCACTCAAACAGTGACTCCCACAATGCCATCTCCAGCCCCTCGCTCCACCCTGACTCCTGGGTCAGAAAGTCCTACTGTACCCTGGACACGTTCATGTGCATGTCCCCGGCCACTTCAAATTCAACAAGGGCAAAATGAACCTTGTGCCCTCACCTCCGCCAGCGAAACCACCACCTACTGGAAACCACCCCAAGCCAGAAAGCAGGGAGCAGTGGTGTGCTGGTGAGCATTTAGCAACTGGCTCTCTGTGAGGGAGAAAAAAAGCCCTCATTTGCAGTGTTTGCCAATTTCCATGATCCAAAGACTCCCACAAAAGCCAATTTCAAGCTTCCAACATGAAGCCGCTAACTGGCCGGCTGGGAAGAGAGGTATACGACTGGCTCTCGTGCGCTGGCAGGAGCCAGCTGCAGCACACCACAGCAGACCAGCAGCCAGGGTAGCCCCGCTCTCCATCACAGTGCCTGCCCCGCCGGCCCTCTCACTGTCTTGTGAGCACACCGGCCAGGAGTCGTCCTCGGCTTGCCTGCGTCCTCATGCCACACTAACTGGCCCCTACCCCACAGAGCGGCTCTCCACCTGCCCTGATGGATGCCACGCCCCCAGGAGCCCCCACCTGATCTCCGCACGTCCACTCATGCCCCCTCCCACCGACACAAAGCAGCAACCTGAACATGTCACTGTCTGACTCGGCAATTCCCCTCCTAGGTATCCACAAGAGGAATGAAAACGTACGTCCACACCTAAACTCGCACGTGGATGTTCACAGCAGTATTACTCACAATGTCCAAAAAGCGGAAACAAGTCACATGGCCATCGACAGATGAAAAGATGAATAACATGTGGTGGGGCTATACTGCGGAATATTACTCAGCCACACAGGGGAACGAAGTCGAGACATGTGACAACGTGGTGAACCCTGAAGACTGAGGCTCAGGGCAAGAAGCATGGCGTGCCAAGTGGTGCCATGTCCGCACCCGGGATCCGAACCGGCGAACCCCCGGCTACCAAAGTAGAACGTGCACACTTAACCACTGTGCCACCGGGCTGGCCCCCAGCTGTGGTTTCTTACAAGACTACACTCACTCTTAGACACCATCCAGCAGTCGTGCCCCTTGGTATCTGCCTATAGGAGCTGAAAACGGACACCCACATGGAAAGCTGCCATGAATGTTTATGCAGCTTTATTCATGACTGCCAAAACGGGGAAGCAACCAAGACAAGCCTCAGCAGGTGGGTCGATGAATAAACTGTGGTCCATCCCGACAAAGGAGTATTACTCAGCGCTAAAAAGAAATGAGCGATCCGCCATGGAAAGACGTGGAGGGACCCTAAGTGCAGATCACGGGTGAAAGTCAGCTCCGAGGGGGCAGGACTTCTGCTCTGCTCCCGGCAGTGTCCCCAGCGTCTGAAACAGAGCCTGGCCAGACCCTCAATAAGCTGTTGGTGAAGAAGCAAATGTGCACGACAGAAACTTTTGGGGGGTCACTCCAAACGCTGCTCTTTCTCTGCAACATCTGATCCACGAGCAGTTTCTGTCAGTTGTGGCTCCGCACATCCATGCAGACTCTCACCGGCTCCACAGACCCACCCAGCGTCAGAGCCGCTCCGCACGCAGGGGGTCCAGGCCAGCTGCTGCCCCAGCCCTCTGCTCCTCCCACTCCTACCTGCTGCTCCCACTCCTCCCTGTTGCCCCAGCCCTCTGCTCCTCCCACTCCTACCCGCTGCTCCCACTCCTCCCTGCTTTCCCAGCCCTCTGCTGCTCCCACTTCTCCTTGCTGCTCAGACTTCTCCCTGCTTCCCCAGCCCGCTGCTGCTCCCACTCCTCCCCGCCGCTGCGACTCCTCCCTGCTGCCCCGGCCCCCTGCTCATCCGACTCCTCCCTGCAGCTCTGACTCCTCCCTGCTGCCCCAGCCCCCTGCTGCCCCGACTCCCGCACGCAGCCAGAGGCGCTCTCAGCGCTGCAGTCCGGCCCGCGCTCCGTGAGGGGCTCTGCAGGGGCAGGCAGACAGCGCGGCGGCGGCCCAGGGGAGCCTTCTCGCCCGCTCCACCCTCCCGGGGCACCGCTCACCCGGAGCCCCGGCGCCCGTCCGTCCCACCGGCTCCTTCCCGCTCGAGCTGCTCCGGCACGGTGCTCCCTGTCCTCGCGGCTCCCCTGACCTCCGCCCCCAGGGGCCACCTGCCGCTCTCGCCGTTTTTCCGGCGCACGTCGCGCCCCCGACGCCCGCGGGGCCGCCGTTCAGGTTGTCTCTCCCCCAGGAGCATCGGCTCCAGCCGTGTCCCCGCGCTCCGAGCCGCCCGGCCACGCGAGATGCCCCGGGACGCGGAGCCGGCGGGCTCCGGGGAGACGCTCACCTGGGCTCGCGGCCGGCCTCCTCCTCGCGGCCCTCCTCGGCCTGCGGCGGCTCCCGGCTCTCCACGCTCGGCCGCGGCTCCCGCTCCGGGCCCTCGGCGGGCGGCGCGTCCACCTGCGGCACAGCCAGCGCCTCAGAGGCCGCGGAGGCTGGGCCGCCCCGGGGGCTAGGGCCGGGGGCCGGGGTGGGGGCCGGGGCGCCGGGGACCGGGATGGGGACCGGGGCGCCGGGGACCGGGATGGGGGCAGGGGCGCCGGGGACCGGGATGGGGGCAGGGGCGCCAGGGACCCGGGCCGTGCTGCTAACGGCTCGAGGCCCTGGAGCAAGAAGGGGCAGGAGACCAGGAAGGAACGGCACGGGGCGGCGCAGGCTCTGAGCCGCGCTTTCCGCGGCCCGCCACGCGCCAGGCGCGGGGGTCTGTCCCTTGGGCCCCGCCATCAGCGCGTCCTTCACGCCGCCGGCTGTCAGTCAGGGCCCGACGGTCAGTCAGGAAATCGGAGCCCAACGGGGCGAGGGGAGGCCCCGGGGGCAGGGGACAAGCGGGTGAGCCGGGAAGCCCGAGATCCCGGCCGTTCCCCGCCCGTCCGCCCGACCGCCGCCCGCGCGAAGAAAACCAGCGCCGCCTACTCCCTGTCGCTCCATCTCGTCTTTTCCCGCCTTCTCATTCGCGCCCTCTGCGCACGCGCCGCCCCGCCCCGCCCGCGGCGCGCCCCGCCCCCGCGCACGTGCTGCGGCGCGCCCCCCGGCCCCGCCTCTCTCTGGAAACATGCGCGCGCGGCGGGGCGGGGCCGGCCGTTAAGCGGCGGTTGGCCGCCGCAGGGGCTGCGCGCGCAGTCGGCGCCGTCCCGGAAGAGGGGCGGTCTCTGTTCGCGGGTGGGCGCGTGCGTGCGTCTCCCCCGTCCCACGTGGGTGGGGGCGGCTAGCTGTCGCTGCGCTCATTCTCTGCGTTTCGGTTCGTCTGCTCTGCCCCCAGAAGTCGTTGTGATAAAAGTCTCTGTTCCCTGACTACGACCTGTTGCCCTCAGTGAGGTCTATGCAGTCACCACCTTCAGTCTGAGTACCCTGTGCGCTCCAAAGCTGGAAGGTCCTTGAAAGCACGGCGGGGTCTGGCCCTTAGAGAGTTGGGTCCATATCCCTTAATTATAGTAATAACGATAATGCCTGAAGAGTAACAATAATAATTGCCACACGAGGAGCAATAGAGTTGTAAAAATATTTGCAAAATATATATCTAACAACTTGTATCCGACGTCTACTAAGAACTCTTGCAACTCAGTAACAGCCAACCAAACCCAGTTTAAAAATGGGCAAAAGATTTGGGGTGTACAAAGGCCCTGAGGTAGCGAGCAAGCGCAGTGTGTCTGAGGAGCAACCAGGCCAGGTTGGGAGGTAGAGGAGGGATTGGGGGAGGCCGTGGGTGAAGATGAAGAATGGGCAGGGGCTGGGCTGGAGACCAAGGCCAGGGGGTGGGACTTTGTTCCAACTGACTGCGAAGGAAGAGGAGCTCCCCTCTGGGACACCCATCACAGTGTCTGTGAGGGAGGCAGCAGGAAGCCGTTCACTTTGTCAGCCCTTCTGTGCAGGACTGTGTCCCTAGCCACACATACACCAGGACACACACTGCAACACCTACATACCAGAGGACATGGGTTTGAATCTGGCTCTGTCTCCTACCAGTGGGGGTGATCATAAAACTGCCACTCACTCTCAAAACCCATCTTTGTGTATTACTGAGGCGATAAAATCGAAAACATCAGATGATTCTAAGAGTGTCAGGGGATAAACATCTGTAACACTTTAAGAATTTAATAAATGGTAGTTAACATTAGTATCTTGTGGCAAAGCCACAAGATAAACAAAATGCATCTTCCCACAGCATCACATTTGAAGATCTCAGATCACCCACGGACAGGAATCGCGAAGACTCACTGGCGTGCACACATAAAGACACACGCCCACAACCAAAACGAAAGCAACACCCAAGATGCAGGGTGATTTTTCTGGTGCACGGTTTGTATGGCTTCTGCAAACATGCAAAATGAAGCCATGTCTTGCTAAAGTAACATGTAAGTAGCAAACGTTTAGAAACACATGAAAATGATCAACACTAATTCAGTAGGAGGCAACTTTAGTGGGGTGGGGACAAAAGGAACTAGGACAAGCCCATAGGGTCGTCAAACCATTTGTCACACAAATCTAAAGTGACAGATCCAAAACATATACAGTCAACGCTCAGATTCGATTGAACTGGGGGTGGATTCCTGGGTGTTTACTGTATTACGCTTTATGTATTGGATACACTTCCCCTGCCTGTACTTTCCTGTGTGGCCGTCACCGCCCCCCGCCCCACTCCATTTGTTTCTCTGCTGTCATGTCTCCTGGGCCCCATCCACCCCCGTGGCAGCTCCCGAGGGGAGGGACCTGCATCAGCTTCATTGCCAAGTCTTCGGCTCATGAACACCGCTGGCACTTAGGAAGTGCACAGTTACTGCATGAATATCCTTCTGTATGACTGAATTATTTTGTTTGAAACAAAGAAAAAAGATGGGACTGAGGAGCCCTCGGGAGATCGGTCCCCACAGGCGCTGGGAGCAGCAGAGCCTACGGACCGTGCTGCGCGCCACCGCTGAGTGAGAAGCTGTCCACAGTCCCAAAACGCCCCTGGAGACATGCGGTGAGTGATATGGCGGCCAGGCTGCTTCAAAATATTCCCGCAGAAACAGGTGCGAGACCCCGCTCACTGTTCAATGTGGATAGCGGGTTCCCGGAGCTTTGTCCACCTCAGCCCTGCGTTCTGGGCTCACGTGAAATCCTTACGGGAATTTTTTTTACAGGAGCAGCTTTTTAGGGGGAGGAAGGAGGGATGAATAGACAGGGCACAGAGGACTTTGAGGGCATGAAATACTCCAGATGGTATTATAACGGTGGACACGTGTCATTACACATTTGTCCAAACCCACAGAACAGACACCACCAAGAGGGAGCCCTCACGTCAGCTCCGGCCTCTGTGGGATCATGACATGTCCAGGAGGGTTAATCCTTGGTAACAAACATCCTACTCTGGTGGGGATGTTGATGGTAGGAGAGGCTATGCATGGAGGAGCAGGGGATATATGGGCAATCTCTGTACCTTCTGCTCAATTTTGCTGTGAACCTAAATCTGCTCTTTTGGGGGGAAAAAAGGCAGCTTTTAAAAGCTTAGCTTGCCCCCCACCCACACCTGGCTGCCACCAGTTAGGGGGAATCCTGGTTCACGGGGCCCTGACACCCGCCCTGGCCTCCCCCTCCCAAATGCCCCTTCCACAGGGGTAGGGAGTTCTGTTCTGGTCACCTGGAAGAGGGCCTGGCACCAGCAGGGGACCAGGAAATGCACGATGGAGCTAGTCTTCCCCAGGGGATCTGGCTCAGGCTGGCCAGGAGCTCCTGAGGATCCAAGACCCCAAGCCAGCACCCCTCGTACCCGGGCCCCAGCACCCCTCCACCCCTAAAGGAGGGCACCAGATGAGGGCAAGTGCCCACTTTATTAGGCAGCGGCCGGCCCGCAGGGCTCCCAGGGCCCGTCCTCCTAGGTGGACGACCACACACACCTGCTACCCGCTCCCCTGCCCCTGGGACCCTGGGGCGGGTGGGGAAGAGGAGATGCCAGGGGTGGGGGATGGCCTCACAGAGGCCTCATAAATACATGGGGTCACTGGCAGGGATGCAGACGAGCTGGGCAGCACGGGCTTTGGGAGGGTGGCCTGTCCAGGGTGGCCCATGTCACGCAGCCTCCTGTGTCTGCGGGGGCCCCGGTTCGGCGTCCAGGCGGCACAGGGGGCTGTCGTACACCATCTGCAGGTTCACCTTGTGGCCCACCAGCTCCCGGATGTTGTTGATGCCATATTTGATCATCGTGGGGCTTGGAGGATAAGATGCATGGTTTAGCACCAGGTCAGGTCATGGTCGCCTCTGATGAGAACCTCTGAGAGCTCCCACCTTCCTCAGAGTGAAGGCCCAAGTCCTCCCCAGGCCCACAAGGCCCTGCACAACCTGCTCCGTCACCTCTCCACCCTCATCTCCTCCTGCTCTCCCCCTTTGCTCCCTCCCTCCCTCCAGCCACACTGGCCTCCTTACTGTTCTCCACAGCAGCAGGCACGCTCCAGCCTCAGGGCCTTGGCACTGGCGGTTCTCTCTGCCTGGAAGGCCGTTCCCAGATATCCTCACGGCTCACCCCTTCGCCCACTCCCAGTCTTTGCCCAGACGCCACCTCTTCCAACAGGCCTTCCCTGACAAGCGCCTCTCCTTGGTGCTCCCTGTTTTCTCTGGAGCCCCAGCTGCCTTCAGATTCCCTCGAGGCTTTCTTGATTGAATCCACCTATTTCCCTGCTCCTGATCCTCCTCCTCACTCCCCTAGGGCCTGGCTTCACGGAGGTGGGGCGGGGCTGCTGCGCTCACCGCACAGGAAGAGCGCATGGCAGTGCTCACGAGGGGTCTGCCTGTCAGCTGAGTGGCCGACTGACATCCGCAGGCCCCACGCCTGGCAGGTGGCCCCCCTAGGTGGCTCGAGCACTCACCGCTCCAGGGAGAGGCCCCAGGCGATGACGGACACGTTCTCGGGGAGCCCCATGGGCAGCAGCATCTCTGGGCGGAAGAGCCCGGAGTTCCCAACCTCCACCCACTTCTTCAGGCCTGCGGGCGGGAGGGGCGACGGCTGAGCGCCAGCCTTGCAGCGGACTTGGGGGCGCTGCGGGGGCACGAGGCAGCCCGAGGCCTCCCTCCCCCCACCCCAGGACCGGGACGGGCCGCCCTGACCTTGGTGGTAGCTGAACACCTCCATGCTGGGCTCCGTGTAGGGGTTGTAGGCAGGCTTGAAGCGCAGCTGCGTGATACCTGGCGAGGATGGGGCTGGTGACCAAGGCATTTCCCCCGGCCGCCCCAGCCCTGGCCCTGGCAGCCCACTCACCCAGCTTGGTGAAGAACTCCCGCAGGACGCCCATGAGGTGGCCCAGGGTGAGGCCGTGGTCAGCCACCACGCCCTCGATCTGGTGGAACTCCGCCAAGTGCGTGGCGTCCAGGGTCTCGTTGCGGAACACGCGGTCGATGGAGAAGTACTTGATGGGCGTGAAGGGCTTCTGGGGGTGAGAGGCCGGCCAGGCAGGGTGTGGGTAAGAGGGCAGTGGGCACCCCCGCACCCCCCACCCCCCGGGCCATGCCGCACCTTCCGGGCCAGGCGGTAGAGGGCACGGGCACTGGCCGCCGTGGTGTGCGTGCGCAGGAGGTTTTTCCGGGCCTCGTCCAGCTTCCAGGTGTACTTGTACCTGCAGGGGCAGTTGGGGAGGTCCATGCCAGGGCCTTCAGAGCCCTACTCCTTCCCCCGACCCCCCGAGCCCTGGCCCTGCCTCACCCCTGCGAGCCATAGCCGCCCTGAGAGTGGGTCCGCTTGACGCGGTGGACGTAGTCCATTGGGAGCTGCAGGGCCTCGGCTGGATCTGGGCAGGAAAGAGCATTGTCTGGTCAGTCGAGCGTTTCCCAGACAGCCACTGCAGAGGACAGACAGCGCCAGCGCAGCTCCTGCCCCTGCGCTCACTGCAGCCGCCAGAGGGCGCCTGGGAACACC